CTGACCTACAAGGCAGTAGGAGTGGAGTAAGGAGTCCACTATCCATTGTCAGCCGGTGACCGGAGTTCGGTTCATACGCCTTTTTGAATGGGGCCAGACATCCAGGACATCCAACAAGCCCTTTGTCCATACGTCTGCCGGTGAGCTCCGGTGAGCTTCATACGCCAGTCGTTGGAGGTTTGGAATCAGGGTTTAGCCATCTCCCCTAGACCGTCATCCAATGGACAGTCAACCCGGTGGAGAGCACCGGGCATCCACTTTCGCCCTCTCACTTTGGTGAGAAACACCTCCGCCACGTGAAGGCAGTGAGTAGGACTTCATCAGGAGAGGCTATGTAAGACGCCCGGTCATATGGGAGCATTTCAAGAGGTGTGCGGAGGGGTGGCCAACCCGCAGCGCAAGGCACCCACCCCCGACCATCCTGAGGCTTTGGAGGCCTAGTACTCCAAAAACACATCTGCTATCTTCTCATCTTCAGCTGTCTGGCCCGTCGATTACTGCCGATAATCTTTCATCTCCTCCTCCTCCCCGAAACACCATCTCCCACATATCACCCACTCGTCAATTCCCATTCAGATTCCACTCGAACAATGGCCTGCATTGAGGAAAATGTCATTCGACTGATGGCCTGTTCAGTGGAGTGTTTGCCGGATCAATCCATCTCCATTTTCTCCTACATATTTCTTGGTTGAGCAATCAGTCGACTCTTCCTTCGTTGGTTTGTTCATCTCCAGACTTTCTTGTTGCTGATTCCTACTTGCCGGCCATTTGGTCTTCAGTATGGAGCCAGAGAAGTGGGCAGCTGTTGATAAAAGTCTGTCGGAAATCCTTTCTATAACTTACGCACAGTCCAAGTTTCTCACCAGTATAGAAGAACTCACAGACTGACTAACTTGACATTTGTGTTGAATAGAATCTGAATCTTGTTGTTTATGCTGGCTGAGAGAAGCAGATTTTCAAAGTGATTTCAAGTTGGTGAAGACGTATCTTGCTTTTCTGTTTTTGAAACAGGATGAAAAATTTACTCGAAATCTTGATCTTTTTTAAAGAAATCTTCGCATTTTGTCAGCATTTACATCCGAAGGAACAATACTGCCTCCTCAATCTAAATTAAAGAAACTTCATTCTAGTAACAAGTGAATCTATGAGATATTGAATATGACTACACGCAAACTCACTGGATAATCTGTTCAAACGACTCCCTCAGTGACAAGCTTAAGATTATTAGAGAATTACTTGGTAAAAATGATTATCCAGATAAATTCATTGAGAAAAAAATATGAATTCAGCACCGTGGAGAGTCAGTATGACGACAGATCCAAAAAAAAGCATTGTTCATAAGACTGCAGTACCTCAGTGACAACACTAGAGAAATAGTTACATATCCAGTGCCTGAAGAATGCAGTTCAAAGAGCTTTCAGTGCTGCAGATGTATGTTGTCTCTTCACTATTACCCCTATTTTACGTCTGAGAAATAAGGACATACTGTCTAATTCTGCCTCCTCTGTGTGTATCTACCAGTTTGACTACAGCTGAGGAGCTACCTACATTGGGCGTACAATTATGCACGTACATCATCGTATACCTATAACTTATTAAATAGTCAGTATAATAACTGGGTCTCTTCTTTCCAATTCGTATCTTTTATAGGTACAACGTTTTTCTTTCTTTTCTTCTGTTATGTGCTGCTTTGTTTCTTTCTTCTGCTTACGCCAGTAAATATGCTACCATCTACTTTTCCAACACCTTCAAACACTCTGTTCAATCTTGGCTTTGCTACCGACATGCCAATATATGTTGTTGTCATAATGAACTGAAATTACTCTTAATCTATGTAGAATTTTATTTATTGATAATGTACTAACTGGATGCGCAATACTGTAGTAAAATGCTGAGAATTTCATTCTGCTTTTATCACAAGTACTGTTTTGGAATAAAGCAAATTGTTATTATTTCCGAACATTATCCTGCATAGTGGTTAAGCAAGCGACAAACAAGATCTATTCATAGCTCTATTTTAGCCCGCCTTGTAGATGCCGAGCATAAGGTTGATGTTAATAAAGCATTGAAAATTATTTATCGTATTCTTGCTAATGCTTAATTTTGCTTTACGAATTCGTCTTCTAAATACCTACAGGTGAAGCCATAGGGGTCCACTTGAAAAAGACAAAGAGAAACCTGTGTGTTTAGAAGAAATTTGTACAGCCAATTTCCTTACCTTCGTCATCGTTATTAATTCACCCTTCCCCTAAACATTTCGAAAATTATAATGATCCAAATTATTTTATTATTTTTGTGATCACTTCATCTTTAATTAGGAGATATCAAGGTCCTTCAACAATCTGTTACTTAATCAACCTGTGTACACGCTTATTCTCTAATGACTCTTCATTTTCCAGACTTATGCATCATGCAATCCACATGTTGTAACCTTTAATTGTGTGTATTAATTTCCTTCGTTAGTTATCACCCCCATTTGACATGTTGATACTGCCTAATTATTGTCAACGAACATATCAGTGCCATTTGATTCGTAAAATGTTGTGCATCGTAATAAAAATACTATTATAATAATAATTTATTAGAGTAGAGCCTGAGTGAGGGATGACGATCTAATTGAGAAGTAAATATTTCTTCGCTTGCTCAATCCTTTTGATTTCTAAACTCATTGACATGTTTATAGCGAAATCAAAATTAAAAGAACTATCTCACTTTATACAGGTGAAACATGAAAGGTACGAAAAACAAAAAAGGTTTCATGAAAACAAAACACATAGTGTGTTCACCGAAGAGTCTATTTTCGGCGGAGAATTCATTCACTTAGCTGTACTATCGCAAATATATAATATAGGTTATTTTGTATGTGTATGTGTACATTAAGTTTGTCAAACAAAAATACAATTGGTGATTTGGTTATTATAACTAAAGAGGGGGGGGGGGATTACTAAGCTCTGGGTGGAGCTACCTAATACAAAAACGGTCAAGAAAATTGAGTGTCAATGAAACTAGGATATCTGTAGTCCCGATGTTCTAGAAACAGAATTAGATCTTTTGAGAGAAATCTTCGTCCAAAAAATAAATACCCACCAAGATTTTTTGTTAGAAATATCACATCAAGAATTTGGAGGAATTAAACTTCTCTTGAACCTAAAATGAAACTCTACATGAACCTGGATTTCACAGGGGGTTTAACAAGCGATATTCTCAAGAGAAGGATCACATCATTTCTGAGAAGAAAATTCTTTGCAGTGAAGCCAAGAATAGTGTTCTCCAGTCGCCCACTGATCTACAGAAGTCTCAAGGACAAGATCCCACATCTGACTACTTCACTGTGCACATATCAGTTCACCTGCTGCTGTGGAACTAGTCACGTACATCGGTCGTTCGACGCGCACCCTATCCAAGAGGATTCAAGAACACTATCGCAGTAGTGGTGCAATAAGGAATGCGATAATCGAACACCTGGTTAACACTCACCATTCCATTTCAACAAACGTCCCCTCCTTCAAAGTAATCTACAGAGTCAAGAATAGCCTACCAAAGGCAATACGGTTTCGTCTTCCTTGTATCGCTGAAGCTCTGGCTATCTATTCACATAGAAAAACCGGAGCTGTGCACACATAAGAGAATTACTCAACCACTTCTACTATCGTGGTAACAATTTTGTCGATTATTGATGACTTCATTTTGTTTGTTTGCTTGTTTCTTTAATTGCTTATAATTCTTGTATATTCAGTTAGAACTCTTACGTAATTTCGTATTATCTACTTTTATTCCATATAAGCATCCTGAGTAAAACTCACTCATCAAACTATTCATATTATTATTACATAACTTCTTTTTTAACAACTGTTTATGACAACTCATCACCTTTGTTACACTATCCTAATTTCATTAACACCTAATTTTCTTGACTTGTATTACCAATCTTCACCTGTTAGTTAGTTAGTTAAAATAACCATAACCAATTGTAATTTTGTTTGAAAAACTTAATGTACACAAACATACAAAATAACACATATATATCTATTTGCGATTGCACAGCTGTGAAAATAAATTCACCGCCGAAAAGAGACTCTTCACTGAACACACTATGTGTTTTGTTTTCATGAATGCCTGGATGGGGATTATTCCTGAATCTTCCATATTACTATTATTCTTTTTTCCTAACTCAAACTTTTCTTTATTATCTCTTTTCTCTTGCTTTGTGTGCTACATGGAGGCAGTGTGCCACTAACCCAAACTGCTGCGCACATCTCTGGAAAGTTCTATATTGAAAACTGTCAGTCAATCAGTCAGTCTACGAATTCACCTTCTAACTGGAAGGTTCTGGGTTTTTTTATATATTTTTTTATTACAGCTTGATTCCACACTGTATTTTTGGTACAAGTATGGAATTTTCAGCATGGATATCGGTAGCCCAAATTTTTGCAGGCCAACCATTGATGGTGTCAGGTGTTCGTCGGCAGGGGATCGAACCTCGGACCATATGCATGGTCGGCGAGAGTCCTAACCACTGTGCAACCGACGCACATAGGAGCTGATGCTTGCTTGTCCAATGCGCATTGTTACACATTTTACCACATTGATCGGGAGCATCCATTCTATGGACCACTCTGATAGTTTGTCAAAGCCCTCTTGCAACGTGGACGTATCACTGTTGCCCTTCAGCTCCCTCCAAATTTTTAAGTCATCTACGTATAGGACCATAGGGGAATCGGTGAGCAGAAATAACTGATTGATATACAAAATAAATAAGAGAGGGCCGAGTACCGTGCCTTGTGGCACTCCGCTGCGCATTTCTGTTCAACAGGAGAGTTTCGAGTTGATCCTAACCCCTCTGCCTCCTATCTGTGAGGAATTCCCTGAGTCACACTTAGAACCACCCCTTGGGCAGTGGGTGAATATTACTGAAGGGTCCAGATCTATCTAGAACTGCTGGCTTTCTGGTGATCTTTCAACTGATGATGCAACCTCGTGATTAAACCCATAATCAATCAAATCCATTCAAATCAACACTCATTATTATTACAGGATAAATACTGCTTTAGAAAAATTTACATTGAATTAAACCTTAAAAATAACAAACAAACAAAATATGTTCGACATTAGTTTTTTATGCAACAGGAGGTACACCAGTCGGCGGCGGTGGTGGTGGGCCGTTAGACTGCCCAGGGTTTGGAAATCCTTGGAATGTGGGAGGTGGTGGTGGCGGTGGTGCAGGAAAGCTAGCTGACGGTGAAGGCGGTGGTGGAGGAGGTGGAAAAGCTGTTGAAGCCGCGGCGGCGGATGGAGCGACGACAGGCACTGGCACTGGTAAGATTGGTGCAGGTGGAGGAGGCGGGGGAGGTGGTGCCATTGGTCCAGGCATAACAGACTGACCATATCCTCCTCCCATCATTAAAGTATTCTGATGATGAATAGCTGGCGGCGGAGGAGGAGGCGGTGGTGGCATCATTAATGTTGATGATGCTAAAGCAGGTATTCTCATCGGTGTCATCGATGTGATTGAATGGCCCATATTGCCTGCAAGTAATGTGGGTGGAGGTGGTGGCGGAGGAGGAGGAGGCGGTGGAGCATCTGCAAACAACTGATGTGGACGTTCAGCCTAAAATTTTAAAAAAAAGATACGTTATCAAAAAGTCTCCAACCAAGAACTAGTTAATTTGACCTGGCGATTGAGCTTTGTTTTTTTCCCTTCATGTTCCCCAGTGGAACAACATAGGGCTTCAAGCTAGAGTGGCTTGAAGTTTCTATAGCAGTGGTGTTTATTCTTACAGGATGGGGTTGCTAGCCGCCTCATGCGTAGCCAACCTTTCCTCTTTACCAGCTTTTATTGCTGGGTTAGCGAGGTAAAGGAGTGCATCTGTGGCGGAGAGTCGAACTCCGGACCACGTGCATGGTTGGCGAGCGTCCTAACCGCTATACCACCGACGCGGTGGTTGAGCTTACACATTGCAATGAGCTAACAAGCTACACTGACTGGAAATAATGTGTCCTGAAGGTTCTCCCAACCCAGAAATGTTGTTTGAATAGCGGTTAGACTAAAAGCAGTTAATGTAAACTGTTTACGCTATGTTGCGGGGGTGGGGTTCTGTGGGAGAAGTCATGTGGTGAGAGCTGGCCGATAGCCAAAGTTGGTAGACTGTAATTTACGTCAATGTTTTGCGTTCCCAATATTGGTTGTGAGACAGATGGGAACAAAGACTTTGTGTAGGCGGATACAGTTAGCATATAGATGATCTGAAATTCAAGAAACAGTCACAAAGAGATGAATGATTAACTTTCAGTGAGAAACGACCAATCAGAGGACTGTGTTTGTTTGCTTAAATAATCTATAATTTAGTACATGGCAATATATAAATATGTCTTTATTTCTTTAATAAAGGATCTGTTTCCTGCCCCTTGTCTTCTGTTGTTAGTCATGCTGCTGGGAAATATGAATGTAACAGCAATAAGGTGTTCCCCCTAGATGACAAGCATCCCAGCTGTGCTGCTTACCCGTTCTGCAGATAAGGGGTTGGAAAAGTTCAAGTGCGAAAATTAAACAACCCAAATTACCTAACGACAGTCCGTAACTATCGATAAGATCTAAATACGGAGAAAAATCCCAAAATCAATTCAGACAGGCTATGTATGACCACCTATTGCGGTCACGCAACACTACTACTCTTTCTATTTTAAGTACCCCACGAGAATGAGTCATTAAAAAGTTAACGTAGGGACTACTTTTCAGGTAATAGATGGGTCCTACATTGTACAGGCTACATTTACTGGTACAGAACACATATAATGGCCTATAAAAAATTATGAATACTGGGGTCACTGAGTGAGTCACTAATGGTTTAGTTTTTATAGGTACTGAAACTAATATGGGTCTTTTTTACGCTGTTCCCAAAACACAGTGATCATTTGAATGATTTCCACTCAAACATACGGTCTATACCTAGGAATACTGGGCAGCTATTTCGTCCTAGTTGGAGACTTCACAGTACGCGCTCACACCACGGGGTTCGAACCCAGGATCTTCTGGTTACAAGGCGAGCTAGCGAGCTCGTAAACCATTAAACCACTGGGACCCAACCGATCCAATGGCCAGCCCATGAATTCTAACTTCTGCCACTGTCTGTCTGTTTTCGACATAGAACTTTGCACAAATGTGCGGAAGTTCAAGTCGCCACACTCTGTGTACCACACAAAGTAAGAGAAGAAAGTACAAGAAAAGCATAATAGAGACAGTGAGCAGAGGTGTGAGACCAAAGGAATAGTAATAAAGAAAAACAAAACAGTTTCATTGGAGATCATAAATCACAAGGAGTGGATGCATCTGCACCAGCCACTGAGAACGATTTTGAGCCATGTCACCAATTGTTTCCAACCATAGATTTTTACCGTCCCGAGGACCCCAGCCTGGAAGTCTACACCTTTCTACGTGGCTTAGACCAACTGTTGTGAATTTCATTGACTGGTGCCAAGTTTTAGTTTGACCTCCGCTAGCTTTTTTCCAGCCTGACCCTATATCCGCTAACATTGCCCATTAGTCGAGGGAGGCGATGACATTGGCATACGTAACACATATCCTAAATATATCAGTCTTTGTAACTTCACGACTTCGTCGATTGATTTCCCCTGTTTACCTAACTTCTGCCAGCTAATTCATAACATAGCACGGCTACGGTGAGTGCATACTGATGAAGGGTCCCAGACTAGACTGACGAAACAGCTGTCAAGTACTTCAGTGCTAATGTCAACTCATGATGAATTCCTTCAACCAATAATTGAAAATACGTATCAAATGTTGCTGTAGTGTATAGAGATGTTACAATACATATCCAAGCTGTATATAAATACATAAATCCCACTTTGAGTTAGTTCTCAACGAAAATATCGATATAAATAAATCAAGAAAGAATGTAATCATTCGGTTCTCTATTATGAAATGTCAAGCAATTAGACACTATTCTCAGCTTTAATACTCTTAGAAATAATAACATAAAAAAACGTTACACAAGAACCAATAAGTGTAAGACAGAAAAACCCAACTTTAGTGCCTGTGTGCGTAGCTAATAAGCTTTCACTGACAATTTCAGTAGACACCTAGGATCGAAATTTCCAGCATCAAATTATTCAGAAAAAAAAATGGGAGTAGCCAACAAACAGCCATGAGATCCAATAGTTTAAGACATTCTCTAATAGAGATTAGATTTGAAATTTATTGGTGCAGCACATACTATGGGCTTCCATATTTCATATAATTCTGACAGCAACATCAGGTAAGGTGATGCTACTTTGAATGTGCTTCGTAAGTAGATTTACCTCTTTTGTTATTCCCTTAACTTTGCCGTTGTATCTCTGTCTTTTCTTCATGCTGTCGTCGGGCCGTTTTATATGGCTTATTTTCTCTTGTCGATACTTCTACTAGGAAGCCCAACCGCGTTCATAGATATGATGACTGACGACAAACCAACTCAAAATACACATTCATTTAACAATATTCGAAAGGAGTTGAAGATAAATCGGTTGGGACTTTTGAATGTGAAAATGAAAATATTAACCGCAGTAGTCAAGAGCCAACATTTTTTTATTTCCTTCACGTTCCCATCGGAACATAGGGTTTCAAGCTGGAGGCTTGACGTTTCTGTAGCAGTGTTTATTTTTATAGGATGGGGTTGCTAGCCTCATGCCCGACCTTCCCTCTTTACCAATCTTATTACTGTCTAAGTGAGGTAAAGGAGTAAGTCTGTGGCTGGGGATCGAACCCCGGACCATGCACATGGTCGGCGAGTATGCTAACCGCTGTGCCACCAACGAACAAGAGCCAAAATTAATTACTATATCTTTGAAAATACTAGGGGAGTGTGGTATATAAGGCTATTATCAGTAACGAGACATTTAACACAATATATAGAGACACCAGCAAGTGGAATCTGAGTGGGTTGAGTTGGACGTTCAGCGCGAGATGAAGAAGGGAGTGTGGCGAGGAGATAAGAGCCTACGGTCAATCGTGGGGCCGATCAAAGAGGACAACAGAGAAGAGGACAAAGTGGAGATGTGCTGTTGATGCTTTATGTTCCAATCGGAACCCAAAGGAACAATAATAAGTGAGCCATGATACAACAGACCATCCGTCTAGCTATGAGGACTTCAAAATACTTTATATACCTTCTCACATTTATATATCATCAAGTGGCAGTCGTGGATAACGCCTGCTGCCATAAACGATCTGGTACGGCCAAGGGTGGGTAGACCTCGGTCTTTCTTTCATGCAGCCACACATTCATATCCTTTGTCACGTAATTCCTGCTCACTGAAGGCACTCCTTCATGCAGCAGGAGTGTTTCACACAAAATTAAAGGTTCGAATAGGAACATCTGGTGCCTATAAGTGGACTGGTAGACACATTGGTTTACCTAGGGGAGCTAGAAAATCGTGCCTCCAAACCTATATTGTCAACATGAGCTCCAGAACCCCCATAGGATTGAACGGTGTATGAACCTGTTTCGGTCACCATCAACCATAGGAAGGCAGCTCCACTGCTGTGTGCACCAGACTTCAGATGAAAGCCTCGGGGAGCGCGGCCCCATAAGACAACCACCTGCTTCAGTCTGGGCGTTCGGGTGGTATTCCAGCTCTCGCAAAAAAATTATAGCATTTTGTGTGGCGCATTTACCACTATATAATGAAAATCTCATCAAACAAGCACTCCAAATTCATCTATCACTGATCAAAGTCTGGAAAGACAAAATAATTCCGAGAAAGAAAGAAAGAAAAAAATACACGTACTTGTGAAAGTGGACTTTGAGCAGCTAACAAACGCTCGGCAGCTGAACCATGACGTTCTCCTTTACTATCTTTCTTGAATGCATAAGATATTGTAATGGCACGATTACACAAATATTGTCCATTCATTGCTTCAATGGCTGCATCACTAGCTTCAAAACTTGCAAAATTGATAAATGCATAACCTTTAGAATTTCCTGTCTCAGGATCACGCATAATCTTTGGTGTTTGAAGGATAACACCAAATGCACTGAAAGTATCGTATAATAGTTTTTCATCTACTTCAGGATCTAAATTACCAATGAAAATATTAGCACCAATATCGAGATTTTTTTGATTTGCTGATGCTTTGTTAACACGAATAGGTTTCCCGTATAATTTGATCATATTCATAATACGCATAGCATAGTCAGCGTCTTCCTCTGTCATGAACTCGACGAATCCATAGCTAGAAGAAAGAAAAAAAAACACGACCAAACATTGAAGATAAAGACTGTGCATAAATTAGGATAAACACTGGAAATATGTATGCTGTGATTCTCAACTTGCCAACATTGTTATTATTATTATTCCCTTGCGTCCCGAGTGGAACGTACGGCTGGCTTCAATAACACATCTCCACTTTGTTCTATCTTCTACCGTCCTCTTCAGCTGGCTAGCTCTACGAGTGACCAAACTATCTCATCTCTTCCTCAGACGATCTCCTCCATATCATTCTAGGACGACACGAGGAATAGCCTGGCGCGCTATGTCACTCGACGGCCTCCTCAATGTACGCCCAATCAGTGCATCTCCACTTTTTCCTGCATATTTGTTGAGCGATCGGCTCTCGCCTGTTGGTTTGTTCCCATAGTTTCTTGTTGCTTATTCTTTCTGGCCGGCCGGCCATTTGATCTTCAGTATGGAGCGAAGTGGGCAGCTATTGATGAAAGTCTGCGGTAACATGTTAGAAATCCCTTTTGTGACACGCTAGTCAAGTTTCTGACCCGTATAGAAGGACCGACTTCACATTAGTGTTGAAAATGCGAATCTTGTTCCTTATGCTAAGTGAGTGCAGAAGATTTCCAAACTGGTTTCAGGTTGATGAAGGTATATCTTGCCTTTCCGATTCTGATTGGCTGGCTTTGACACCTTGGTCCCTTTCGTCTGCAGTTGAGACGATGCTTCTTGGCCAGATAAATGAAAGAGACAACCTCTGTCAAATCTCGCCCATTGATGGTGATTGGTGCTGGTTGTTGTTGCTGTTGATTGGTCGGTTATCTTCATCACCTCCGTCTCTTCTATGTTCACTCGGAGTCCTGTTTTCGCTGCTTCTTCGGCCAGCCTGTTGGTTTTCACTTGCAAGTCTTCGAGTTTGTGTGACATTAGACAAATATCATCCACACACGTGAAATCCAGATCTTCTAAAGTCTTCTTATCGGTCGTCCTAGGCTGGTTAAACTCGGGTACTGGTAAAATACACGCTGTAATTCCAACCAGAATATGCTAACCAATTAGTGAATTTCAATAACTGGGAAACGGAAGTGTAGAGAAGCTAGTTTTGGCAGGAATACGTAAGAGTACCGTGCATGAAAGTCATTCAACCCAGCGATTCAAGCACTTTCATTTAGAACTGTCTAGCTAAAGAGTAAATTGAACAATATACAATAGTCTACTACACAAACTAAGAATTTAACTAGTGAGTCACAAGTTCGAACTTCATCATGACTACAGAGATTTAAGCAATTAAGAACCAGTATTGTTTAAGTTATCTGACTACCTAGTACTTAGTGAAATAGCTAAGAACCCTATTTAATGAGCCACAAAATTACAGATCGTGATATTTCGCTTTCTATCTAACTTAGTTTCCAGCTAGACAAAAATTCTAAATGCACGTTACAGGTGCTTGAAAGTCTAGGTTTCAACGACATTTCATATGATTGTTCTGTCTATTGATACTAATTGGTATAACTTTTATTTGGTGTTTACCTCAACAAACTATCCCATACAGTTTGTCTTCCAACTCATACCTATGTGTATCCTCATCTTATAGATTTTCAACAGCCTTGATATATACTGTTTGAAACAGTGCTTTCTTATAACTGGTACGTACTCCCGTTACAGATGTAATTTCTTAATGCACATGACGCTACAAAGCTAAGAGATAGTAAACATAAAATGAAGAAAATGTTTCGAATTTCGATGACCCCTGGGAAAATATCACAGAAATGCAGCTCACTGGACTAAGGAAATGACTTGTACCCAGTATATCTCGAGTCCACATGCTGTCTTACCCAACCCAGCCTGGAGAATCAGGTAGTATTACCAGCCCTCATATGTGTCACCCAATCTGGTAAGAATACATTTGTCCGAAGCGATTTCTACCTAAGTGAGAATTACTTACAATGAAAACATCGCTAACTACAACTCATCAAATTATCTGGAAAACAAAATGTTATCCGGAGCACAGAACGAATTCCGAAGAAACCTCTCATGTCTGTCAAACCTCCTCACTGCAAGAGAAAACTGGGTCAAATCAAGGGACGACAGAAGACTCATAGACTTCAGCAAAGCCTTCGATAAAGTTCTCCACAAAGGACTACTCATATGGCTGGAAAGTCTTGGTATCAAAAGCAGATTAGTAAACTGGCTCAGGGAAGTCCTCATAAATGGGAGGCAGGGAGTCAGGATTAACTCGGAACTCTCCTCTTGGACAGCAGTGCGTAGCGGAGTGCCACAAGGCATACTACTTGGACCTCTCCTATTTATTTTGTATATCAATTAGTTATCTCTACTCACCGACTCCCCTATGGTCCTATATGCAGATGATTTAAAAATTTGGAGAGAGTTGAAAAGCAGCAATGATACGCTCGCGTTGCAAGAAGACCTCAACAATTTGTCAGTGTTCCGGAGAATGGATGTTCCAGATCAATGTAGCAAAATGTGCAACCATGCGCATCGGACAAGCAAGCATCAGCTCCTATGGACTAGAGGGAACAACACTTCCATCAGTTCAGACTCATTTAGATTTAGGTGTCATAGTTAGTCACGATTTAAAAACTACAGCACTGTCGCGCGTTGGCTGCAGGTACCTTAAGATCCTTATGGGCAATTCGCAGAGCCTTTACTAGAATCACCAGAGATATGTTCACCTCCTTATACACATCTCTGGTGAGGTCAAGACTAGAAAACTGTATCCGGGCAGCCAGTCCTCGTCTTAAACGGGACTCACATTCTAGAAAGGGTCCTAAGGAAGGCAACACGTGACTCTCCGCATAACTAATTTACCATACGAAGAAAGACTAGGCAGTTTAAATCTCTACTCCCTGTTATACTGTAGGCAGAGAGATTTAATCACAAAGTTTGAAATTTTAAATAATGACTACGGACCTGACCTATTCTCTTTTTTCCTTCCCACCAGGTTGGAACACCGTAGAGGACATAACAGGAGAGTTCGAAAGCCAAGAGGAAATCATATTGCTCTTGAGTGCTGGTTCTCACACCGATTCCTAAACTCTTGGAATCGACTCCCAGAATTGGTGTCTGCGACCTCAACTGATTCATTTAATCCCAGAAATTTACCAGAAAAAGATTAACATAGGCTCCAAGCCTTCTGTCCTCAACCAATAAAACTAAATCACTGCGTCATTCCTAAACAAGCGTTATTAGGAGAGTGAGACTTAAATAATCCACGTTCAGGAGTTGTGTCGATCCGTCATTCAGAAAGCACCCAAACTAATGCCACATAACAATATTACTGTGAGGCCTAAGAAAAGTGGCAAAACTATCCACATTAGAATTCTATCTAGTGACATGAAACGAGGATTATATAGATACTTTATGCAGAGTAGGTAGAAGGACGAGTGACTCCTCCCATATTTGCAGTGTGTTGATGACAAACTGCTTTACAGGATGACCTGAACATATTGCAGAAACTTGATTTTTGTAACATTCTTGAAGATATTCACGGAAGACATGTTTCAGCTGTTGTACCGAATAGACCTTAAACCTCACTTGGATTAATTGGACCAGGATTAACGAGTCCAAGCACTAAGTAAGAAAAAGGTTACCCAGAATCTTTGGGGGGGGGGGAAGAGCCCAAAGTATTAGACGTATTGTGGGATAAGAAGTAGTTCCATGTATGCATATTTTTAGATGACTGGGAATTTTATTTATGATTCTGGTACCTTCCGTGTCGAAATAACTATCTGGCTGGAGAATCTCTAAACTACTGAGGAAAATTTGTTTGTCATACTTTCACATAGTACCTAAGTAATCCTAGTAACTATAAATTTGCCTTTTGTTTGAAAAAAAACTACCAAACAGCACACACGTTCTGGTGACAATAAACATACCCTTGGTGCTGCATATTTATTCTATCCTTGGGCATATGAACATTGACCACCGGACCTGCCTGAAGAAAAAGTTCCCAAAGAATTGACTCATTGACTTTTTCATCAAGACCACCAACATAAATTGTGGCGTCCTGATTACGCTCTTCCATCGTCCCAATAGTCATATTTGATTAAGTAGTAGATTGACTGTGTTTTGATACTTTCTCGATGGCTAATAAATTACAACTAGTACTATCAGAATAAGAACTAGATTACAACACGTATGTGTAGCGAACAACAATCATAACCGCGGCAATCTAATGTTCAATATTTGAGTATATGGTTGAGGGAGGAAAGTTTCAAGACTATGTTAATCCCTTTCTAAAAAGTACAATATTTATTTGGGATAACCGATTGACGTCACAGACACAAGTTTTTCTGATAGTTCTTTCAAAGAGTTAATGATTTTGTGGGGGAACCAGAACAATACAGCTACATAAATCATCGTCTTTTGAAGTATCTAGCTATTTTTTATGAGATGTTTCGACCTGCTGACAAGGGAAAGAACATAAGGATCATGTTCATAGTCATTTCTTAGGATTTTGGGAATGATATCTCTCTGCTTAAAATTACTTTAAGTAGCAGAGATTAGGGATATAAAATGGCCCCTCTTATGGCACACTCGCCTAACCAGGAATTATATATGTATATGTATATATTATTCAGTTTTAGAAAAGCACTTGTTTCCTGAAAGCAGTTTCCTAGTTTTGACCTCACCAGAGATGTTTATTACACGGTGAACATTCCACTGATAATCCTATTAAGTGCTCTACACACTACCCACAAAGAACTAATGCTGAGAAAATGTCAAACATTTTGTCCAGCAACTCACTACGATACTTATATCCGTGTATTCTGGTACTTGCATGCCTGATAAGCATGGTAGGTTACTTCACTACATTGACGGGAAATATTCATTAATTAGACCAGCCCAACAGATTGTTGAGATTCGTTTGTCACTTCTGCCTTTTAAGCTCTCTTTAAATTTCCAGGTACTGCGCATAGATAACCATAAGGGATTCGGTGAGGCCAGATAGTTCATCGAAATGCAGGATAAATAAAATAGTTGGATTACCTTTTGGTACACCATCACATAAAGCTGTCTAGGGAGAGACGTTCCTGAATTGACTCCCAGACAGTCTTGAGTGAGGCACTTTGTCGAAAGCCTCAGTGAAATGCACTTAGGCAACGCCTATGGGCATACTGTTATACACAGGCTTGACCAAGCTTTCCAGTGTTGCGAGGCTTTTCAGACAAAAGAGACTTCCTCGAAAATATTGTTGTAACTCAGAAAGCAATTTCTTCGTAACAGTAGATGGTTAAAGGCAATCGGCCACAGGAAGCCTGGAACCACCTAGGTTACATGCTAGCTGACGCTCACCAATCAGCAAGGCGTATCTGCGACCACCTACTAGGAACTCGTGTCCCTTCTAAGATTCTAACCCCTGTCACCCAATGATGCAGTCAGTAAGAGACGTTACAACTGAGGTATTCGAGCTAGCGGTTGATCTCCTGTACCATTGTATTGTATATATTATTTTAAATGGTCACCAGTTAGCAACTAGTGCAATGTGTCTAGTCCACGGTGTTAATGCAGACTGAATTTCATAAGTCACTTTAGCTATGTGGTCACCATTCCAGGTGGCTCACCATCACGGCTCGCTGTGCTTTGTTGATACTGGATGGTGGCCACATTGCAAGCTTGACTGATAGAATTCGGTACGCGCCAAACAAAGGACTAGACACATTACACTAGTTACTAACTAGTGTCAATTCAAACTTACTTTTTAAGTACGGAGTGACAGCTTCTCTAATTACCATTTTCGGACATTATAGATCTTGTTGAATTCTTTTGCTGCTTCTTGGTAGTGAAGTAAAAACCACTGATCTTCATTGTTTTTCAGTGTGATCATTTTTGTCACTCGCCTGCCCTAGCACCGGTGGACCCCCAGTTGACTGGGAGGTTGGTAAGGCCTAAACAGTGTAAGTTCACTCCACAGTTCAGCATATAACATACTTATTGCCAACCATAGTGAAGCGACATATTTCTTTTCTCCAGCTCCCTTACAGTGAAAGAATGCTCCTTTGTGTTTGGTAGATTCTGTGTGCTTAATCTAGCTAATCTCATAGGTGTAGACAACATCTATTATGGCTGGATTGGAATGCGTAGGGTCGACGTGTGCAATATTTAATTCCATATTACTTTGTTTATTAGATACATCACGTAATATAGCATTATTATGTACTGTATGACGTTTTCCAACGCAATTTATTGTTTATAATCAGTTATCAATGTAGTTGAAGATTGAACGATCAATTCATGGTTGTTTGCTCAAACCAACTTCCCCAATTTTCGCGGAGGCATCAATACGACAGTCATTGTCTCATCG